AAAAAAAAAAAAAAAAAAAAAAAAACGAGAAACAAAAAGAAAATTCCGTCTGTTTGACTAGATTCCACTTTGGAGTATCAAGAATTTTTACTGACTCCAATATCCTATTGTCCTGATAATATTTGAGTGCAGTCCAAAAATACTAGTTTCGAACTTACGAGAAAATTTCCCGGTTCAAAAGTTACTCTCGTTTCAGGGGGTTACAATGAACTCAGCGTGGAACGTTGTACATTCACGAAATACAGCATCGAGTTTGTGGATAAAAGCTGTTCGATCGCGAAATTTCTCAAGAGTTCTCTTTGCACTTGGACCAAAGTTTCGAATTAAATTTCAACTTTAAGATTTAGGTTAGGTTTAGGTTAGGTTTAATAATTAGTTAAAACTTTCAAATTAATTAGAGATATTCACTTTGGATATCGCTCGCCGATTGAATTCGTAAAAATATATAGGATTAAAAATTCTTTTGTAGCCTAAAACGAGGTTTCTTCTTTCTCGAAATTATGGCGGAAGAGGCGACCTTGAACGATCCGGAGAACGGATGAAACGAAGCTGCTGGATAAAAGTAACTCCAGCGATCACGTGACGAACATCGCTCAACAGCACGTGGACGTAACAACAAATCGGAAGGAGCAATGTTACATCACCGGTACATACACGTCAGGTAATCGCAAAATTGGTTTTGGATAGCAAAGACGCCGCTTTGACAGAGTTACGAGAGAACGATGAAACCTTACGAACGAAAATTATCCGGCGTTCGTTACGTGCGACTATCGGCCGAATTATTCGGGGAATCCGAACTGCAGCGAATCCGCGCAAATAAGCTTCACAAACGATCTAATTTTAAAATACGGTTTAATAACTCGCTGGTATGCTAGTCAAACACGGTACAGATAGATCAAATTACAAAATTTGGCGTGACCACCGTAGTTTTTTTTTCTTTTTTGTTTTTTTTTTTTCGTTTTCTTCTCTTTCCTATAAGTGAGCGAAAACTTCGTTTCCTGCTGTACCACGGCAAACTATGTACTACGAATTTTAACGACACCATAAAAAGCGACTGTTTTAGGAACGCAACGCGAGGGACGATTTAGCGCCAGAGATGAATGTATGATAATGTTCGAGGGAATATTAACGTGATTAAATCGACTGACTGCTTGATTGCGTCGTAAAATTCCGTAATATCGAAACATAATTTATGTTGTGACCGGATAATAACTAATTATAAATGCGATTTTAAATGGCAGTAGTCGTCAATGCTAATGTCTATCATTTTCATTTTTTTTTTTTCTTTGATATGCGTATTCAGGATAAATGAGTGCGCATATACGTACGTGTACGGTAAAATAGGAAAATACAAAAAACGAAGTAAATTGTGTATAATGAACGATACGTTATGTTTTCTTTTTTTTTTTTTAAATGTCCAGTATCGTGTAAACATCGAAAAACCATCAGACCGATTTCAAATTTCTGAATCAAAATAATACATTTGTAAATATGCTGGTACACGTACGTACGCACGCTCCGATCCAGAGCATGATACCAATCAATAACATGCGCGAATTAATCGTAAAACAAGGAATAAAATTGACGGATGACGTACCGTAGTAGTTTCTCCTTGAAGGGATCCTCAAAGGGACACTTTCTCGCGTCAGTTTCCTTGAAATTCAGCCGGTCGTGATTGCAGCACAAACGGGTACACAAGATTTACCACTCGCGTCACGCGTGAACATCGTTCTTTCCCAACGTGTCCGAGACGAGTGTCTTCAATTTTACTCGGCGGGATGCGAAACGCGAAAATTAAGAGAACAGTGAAAACACCACGAATCGGCTCACACGACGAGCAACCGCACCTCTGAAGCTTGCAACAGGAAACTGGCCTGTCTCGTGCAGCAAACTTTCATGTAAGGGTGCAGCATGCGCTCCGATTGGTAGGGAGCTGTGCGGCTAAGCCAATCGCGATCGATCGTTCACCGAACGTTGACCCCCACCTCCCATTACACATAACATAATACATATCTGTTTGGCACCACATTCGGCAACAAAAAACTATCATGCCGTGTATGAACACCATAAATTCCGAGCGCAATTAAAAAATAGATGTAAAACTCGATTGATTAAACATTTCTTCTCAGATCAGAACAAGTGTACGTGCGATTGTAGCTTATGAAACTGAAAAGACATGAACACGGTGTCCTAAACTCCCGAGCTTACCAATTGAAAGCGCATGCGCCCATGTGAATCACCATGGTTACAGTAGTCCACGAAAAAACGCGCGCATTTCTCTTGTTAAATTCAAACGTAAATGTCTCGAAATAAATAAACGTTTTAAGTAATAAAGGTTACACACGGTAAATATACGTGCGTGAATTCGAAGTTACAAATTTAAGTAAAAACATAAATGACTGAGAAATTTAAGTAAAAGTTTACACTTACTTGACCAACAATGAACTCGAAATAGGAAAAATATCTCTGACAATGAAATACATCGCCACGATCGTTGAATTTATGGAAGTACTTCACACAGCCACTGTTGACGACGAATTTCTCGTAAAAACCAAGCTTTTTCCTACGATAAGTACAGTTCTTCCACAAACAGTCCGATAATAGAATTTCGCCATAGTAATTTTGAAAGTTATAAACGGTGTCTTCCGATTCGTATGGACGGACAATGTCGGTTAAACTTGGAATTAAATTGCTCAAAACTGACATGATACGGACAATGACAATCTATGATCACTGCTTTATTTTCACCCATTTTACTAACGTACATCTATGATATCGTTACGGAATATTTCATCAATGGGATGAAAAAATTCTGCGTCGGGGAACTAAAATAAATTGTAAATTTTGAGTATAAAATTTGACGCGCTATCGTATGCTATAGTACTATTGATTGTGTGACTTCATATGAAGTAGTTAAAATAATAAATTTATCGATCAATCGCGTGCAACTTGATATCACGCTTATTTCACAACTTACTTGCATACAGAATAAAAATGCAACAAAATATATGACACTCGTTTAATTTTTTACAAACGCTCCTTTCAATCCTTGTATATAAAAATGAATAATTTTCTTCAGTAATATTTTACACATGCATTAGATATCCGTGTAAAATAGGATTGCTATTTTAAGAAATTTACAAAACAGCAAAAGATTTCGTATTTTGAAGACCTTCGTTAAAAAGTATACATCAAAATTTATCAATTAACTGCAATATATGTTGTTGCTCTGCTTCTCTCCATTCGGAATCCCCAGCATCACCAAGATTTCCCGCGTATTCTAATGAAATAGTTAAATTAAAAACATACAATATAGTACAAAATAATAATAAAAAACATACCTCGCATGATATGCCTTATAGTTTTTAGAGATGCTCTTCTTTGAGCTAAAATTCGTGTTACTCGTTGTTTCACTGCTGGTGGACAACCGGTACACGCTTCTAATAGTACATAATCTACTAATTGCAAAATAAACAATCCACCATCCAATCTTCTTAGATACGATTCTTCTTCATCTTCGTCTTCCTATAATTACAATGTACCTATAATACACTAAGTAAATAAATAATCTGTAAAGTTTATATCCTTTTATTAACTTTTGTATTCTTTTCAACTTCCTCCACTTTCTCAAGATACTTGAAATGGAGTTCCATCAAGCGATCCACTTTCTCGTAATCATTTTCCGTGAATTTACTCAATAATCTTTGACGTTGTTGACCTTTACAATTCCTAAGCATACTTGCAATAATTGATACTACATGCTCTACAACAACAAATATTCATAAAAATATTGTAGAAAAGTAATTAAGAAAAAAAATAATTAATTAATTAATTAAGAAAAATTATGATTGAGTTACCTTCGTGTTCTTCCGCAGTAAGCATTCTTTTCCGATTTTTTGTTGGCGTTTTCATAAATAAAGGAAATATTGTTCTCAATCCGAGGATATCGACAAATTTACTACAATTATCTTTTCCATCTGGGCCATTCATTGCATGATCTAATACCTTGAATAAAGCATTATTATTTTTATACAAATTAAACATAAATTCTAACTTGTTACTCACTTTAAGAGAGCCATTCCTAGACATTTTTTTTTCTCGCAACATTAAATTCATAAGCTGTAATCCTTCGCCCCTTAAAAATCGATCTCTGTTTACAGTTGCCATTAGACTTGAACATAATACATTAAATAAATTTTCCATCATTTCTTGCTCTTCGGCTGTTTGAGGATCGTGTCTTTTGTAATACTAAAATTATTTAAACATTAGTTTAGAAAAACAAAAAGTACAAAAAAAAGAGAAAATAAAAAATACGAATTATATTACCGCTAGTTGTTGTAATAATACATCAATTCCATCAAGTTCACCAAGAAGTAACCTATTCTCTGGTGTGTTTTGCAAAAGAATAGATAAAAGTTCACTAGCATAAAGTTTATTAGCATCAAATGGTGTTTTTGCTTTGATTCTCCTTAAAAGCCATTGCATTAATCCCTGCTTTCCTGCATCTGCACACAATTCTGGTCTAAACTCTAAGAGATTCTCGAAAATAGCTAAAATAATCAAAATATAATATTTCACTTAATTCGAAAGTAGTGCTCACCAATATACAATAATAATTACCTAGAGTATTATAAACTCCATCACTTTCTTCTTTTACTACTTCATCCAATCTTTCTAAATTTTGTACAAGAAGAGCACAAACTTGTTGTTCCAATAAAGCATCAATCAGTGTATCAGCACCTTCTTGACTTTCGTGCAAAATATCTACATCTGTCAGCTCTTGTAAGAGATCTACCACACCAACTGCTATATCTGTATTCTCATGAGATAATAATTCAAGTAACGATGGTACAGCACCCAATTCCACCATTAAAGGATATAGATCTGGATTTGTTGCAACAACATGAAGTTCTTGAAGAGTTTCATGCAATTCTACTTCTGACTCCATAAATCTATAAAAATTAAAATTATATTTTACTCTCATATTCTTAATTTGATCTTTCTGTGCAAGATATTAGAAAATGACATACTTTTCTGGTTGATCAGGGAATTTCACTCTCATTTCCTGATTCCTAAGTGCTCTTTTTTCAAACAGAAGGACCATTCTTTTCAGTGTTGCTTCATCCAATGCCTCTATTTCTGGGGCTTCAGTTTCAACATATTTCAAAATATCTTGTTTTTCTTTTTCTGTCAATTGTGGTTCAACTACATCGTTTGCTGGTGAAGGTAAAGCAGCTCTGATAGGTGTAGGAGGTTCGCTGCTTCTAACTGGGGTTACTTCAATTTCTCTTGGTTGCCTTTGACGCGCATGATATGGTGTTTTAATTAACCTTTTAGGCTTCTTTGCATTTTCCCATTCATCCTCGTCATCTTCTTCTCCTGCGATTGGTCTTTTCGGTGTATTTGGTGGCTAAAGAAAACAGAAATGCAGAAATAACAATTAAAAATAGTTCGCACTGTGCACATTTAGGTTAATATCAAAATTTTTAACGATAAAAATTGTTAACTATCATAGATAATATTTTGCGTGGTATGAAACATACTTTGTATGATAATAATTCACCGATATCCATTTGTATGAACAATAAATTCCTGTTTAGAAAGAATTACGTGCGAAAAAACACGATTTGGTTATCGCTGTCAGCCGATGTGCTTCATATTTATAAATAACTCTCACTGAAAATTAAAACGAAACTGTGTAAATTCAATTAAAGAGTACATGTACAATAAAGAGTACATTGCATTCAATAAAGCAATATATTTTTTAATTATATTTAAACATAATTTTCATTCAGCTTACAGAAGTATGTCTTACATGCGATTTAAACCTCGAGATGTCAGTAGTTTCCGTTTCATTCAACCAGAAGAAATACTTTTATTTTTTATAAAAAATAAGGAGATTCAATATTTTTTTTCATGAACAAAAAATATTATTCGAGATTTAATCATTCTTTGGTACTATAATGTTCTTTGAACACAATAGTTTCGATAATCTACATTCTTTATTTTATCAAAATGTTCTCGCAAAATATTCTCTGACAGATTTTGATAACCACTGTTACAAATATCCTATCTGACAGTAGTACCTATACGTACACGTCACAACTTTTGCGAATATTAAAATACGAATGAACCTATTTATTAATAAATATGGAAACTTTATATCACCAAACAAACAAATTAGTTCAAGAGACACAACATCTTTTCTCGCTGCTTGAAAAGAAAACGCCTAACCTAGACCTTAAAGAAATAGAAAACAGCATAGAATCAAAAATAAACCTCATCAACAGGTAGTTATTTAAAAAGATTTTTGTCTTTTTTTTATATAAAAAATTATACAATCTTTTTTTATATAAAAAATTATACAAATTATACAAAGAATTTATAAACCTTTATTATTCACAGGCTCATCTACTTTACATATATAAATAACAATAATTATATGTAATAATAATATACAATCTTGTGTTTTTATTTTTTAGTAATTGTGAAAGATTGGATGTATTGTGCCTCAAAGGACCTATATTTCAAAGGCAAAATGCTAAAATGCGTGTAGATCAACTAAAGTATGATAGTCGTCATCTCACAGCTGCTTTAAACTCTTGGCGGAACAAAATGCTTAAAAAGCAAAGAGAAGAAGCTGAAAGGGAAGCATTATTGTCTAGGACATTTACCACAAATGATCATGTTGATATTATGATAGATCATAATGTACAACACAACTATAGTTTAAAAAATGCAATTGGTGGTGTAGATGATCTCCTTCAAAGTGGCAGTAGCATCTTGGACAGTTTGAGATCACAAAGAATAACTTTGAAAGGGGCTCACAAGAAACTGATAGACATTGGAAATACACTAGGACTTTCAAAAACGACAATGAGATTAATAGAGCAAAGAGCAAGACAGGATGGATTTATCCTAGTTGGCGGAATGTTGTTCACATGCCTTATTATAATTTTAGTCATAATTTATCTTACATAGAAAATAGTACCTGTTACTTTTTAATTTTTTTAGGATGATGCAATTAACAATATTAATTATTGACGTATTTTTCTTATTGATGATGTAATAAGCAATGATTTTTAGGATTGTACGAATAAATTTGGCATGTTTTTACTACTATAAGAGATATACAATATATTTAAATTAATAATGTTGAATGCTTCATCCCTCACATATTAAATTGAATGTTGCATCTTGAAATTTGTAATTGTTGTTAATGAAATATTAATACACATGTATTTGTATATAATAAAATAAGAATAAATAAAGACAAGCATTATAGATGTCACAATTTAATTCATTTCATTATTTTTTTTAATAAATATTTGTTTTCATTGGTAGCTCATTACTATTTTTGTATAAAAGTTAGAAACAAGTCTTAAAAATCATAAATTAATTCACATATGTATTGGCAACACTGATTTTATTCCATTTAGTGAATACATGTGGGAATATTATGGGAACGCGTGTACCTTTTTTTATTTATAAAATAATCGAACATTTTTTTTTTAATTTAAGTAATGAATCAAACTTTTTTATCTGTACAAAACAGAAAAAATAAATTTTGTATGCAAGAACTTTGTAATTTGTGTTGAAAAGTTCATATTATTTATATTAAATTAAAAAATAAAAATAATATATATCTATATTTTAAAAAGCAAATGTAAATATTGTGAACAAAAATTTCTATAATCTTATGTTATAATATTCTATGTTCCATTGTAAGTAAACAGGTTAGTTTCCATGTTTCTCTACTACAATAATCTTAATTTGTATGAAAACAAAAAAAAATATAAATAATATAGACTTATTAATTTACTTGTTTCGTATTTTTTATGTATACTTACATATACATAATAATATATTTCTTTAAAATATTCAAAAAACTTAGAAATTATTTAATAAAACAGAATCTTTGAGTAACCTACAGTACAGATCATATCCAATACAATAAATTAAAAAATTAAATTACTGAATTATGTCTGTGAAAATCATTTTTAAATTTGTAATTAAAAAAGGAATCAATTTTTTGTATTAAATTTAATATATAAATTACACTGTTTCAAGATTATGTAATCATTTTGTTTTATTTTAAGATTTTTATTTTTAATTTCTGCAAAACTAAGTATTTTTAGCAAATTTTGAATTTGTAAGTGAAAATTCTATTTAATTTCTAAAAAGTTTCAATTTCAAAATAATGTGGATAAGTGCAAATCAGTTCTTTTGAGTTTGAACATTATAATCATAACTTTTTATCAAAAAACATATAAAAATTTATTAAAAATGTCTTTTTTGAATTTAAAGAAAAATATACATATATATTAATTAAAAAAAAAGGATGTAGTATAAATGCATAAAATAGAAAATATGATTTGGATTATTTTAGGATGTCTTTCCCAAATAAAGAAGATCGTACAAGATGTTGGAATCATAGGGATGAATATTGGAAATGTCTTGATGATGGTAAAACAGAAATAGAATGTAAAAAATTTAGAGAACAATATGAAAAGTTTTGTCCTGCGTTATGGGTAAGTTTTATTTATTAAAAGGTTGATCTTCCACTAAAAATAATTTTCCTACATGTAATGCCTGTCCCTTTTTTATTAAATCTTCATTTTATCACTTTTTACTAGGTAAAACACTTTGATCGTAAACGAGAGTACTTGAAATTCAAAGAGCAGCTAGAACAAGGGGGGTATGTTCCTGAAGAACAAAATGCAACATAAAATATAAAACTAATTTAGCAATTGTAATTTATAATTTATTACATTTGAACTAATAGTTATTAAACTATTCCTAAATTAAATTTTCTTATTTTTATTACTTATAATAAAAGAGTGCAAGTAACAATATTGTCTTATTATATTATATGATGATCCTTAATCCACTATATTGAAAGTAAATCATATTTTCTTTTTCAATTATTTGGCACATAGAAATTCTTATGCAGAAGCTAATTTTATAGCTGCTGGATGCTTATTTACATTTAAACCAATAATTCATTATCTTTTTAAAATTTTCGAATGTTTTTTATGATTTTGCAGGCATTATGTTTTCTATTTATTTTTGTTGTTATTTAGAAAAGTAAAACTTTAAAAAATGTCATCATTACATATTAATTGCAGGGCATGCGGCCTTGATGGAGACAAAACAAACAAGTCAGATGCAACAGCACATACCTCAAAAGCAGTTTTTAATTTTCAAACAACAAATACAAACACGTATGATTAGGGAATAAAAATATATGTAATATATATAATTATTAAATTGAATCTTCTGTTACTAAATTGCAATAACGAAATGTGTACAAAAAATATGGAATTGAACCATGTAATCAAAGAGTTGCAAACACATACAAAAGACACTGCTATTTTCAGAGTTAGTATTTTATGATTCTATTAATATAGTTCTATTGTAATCATTATTGCTTACTATATAACTCTATTAATTATTGCTCTATATAACTCTAAATAAAGCATTTTATTGTTATTTTTTTAGAAATTGATAAACTTTGCTTCATCATGCAAAGAATCCTGGAATGATGAACATTTGAAACAATGGCAACCAGTATATATACATATTATAGAAGCTTTTATTTTAAATATAGACAATAGAGAAAGAAGTTTGTTGGCTTCCCATACATTTTTTGCTTTACTATCAAAGCAGTCTAACTTATCATTTATAAAAGAAACTTTTACAAGTCTTCTGAGTTCTAAACGTAATGAAGTATACATTTTTGATAAAAGATATAATATCGTTGAAAATGAACTATTTAAACTGATTTGCGCTTATGGATATTTGCAAGTAAATCATAATGAAATATATTCCAATGATATCTTTTTTTTTACTTTCGATGTTATATTCGATCACTGTATAAAATATACTAAACATTCTTATTTCGCGTATAAAATATTATATACATGGTTGCAAAGAACTATGAACACAACTTTTTGGAGCACATATTCAGAAATAGAGCAAAGACTTGAAATGATTATTTTTTCAAATTGGTGTAATGCCATTAATGACATAAGTAAACAAAATTCAGTACTTATTTTTAATATGTACCTGAAAATAATGGAAAAGAAATATGACAGATATTTGGAGTATATATTTAAACATTGTGTCAATACAATTTCTTGGCAGAACGAAGTAAAGTATGATATACTCGCGGAAATTTGCGAAATTTGGGATGAAACTAAAATTATTACATCCCGTGATTTTTTATTTTCTTTGTGTAGTAGCTTAACAAAATATTATTTGCGTTCACCTGGTACTAAAGTTTATCTTGCGATTGTAAAAAAGTTAAACGAAAATGAATGGAAAAAAGCCTTTGGATATATGATGAATTATCTCTTTCACCATTGGGAATCACCAGAAAAGTGAGTTAAATCATCAAATTTTTGCAAATAACAGAAAATTCGAGTTTAAATGTGAATATTTAATTACAGTGAAAATCACAATGCCCTTCAGTTACTCTGCAAACATTGGCTTGAACCAATTGTTAAAAAGTACAAAAATCTTTTATTTTATTTATGGAATTTAATCGCAGATATAAGGGAACATATTTTACGTTCACATCTTCAAAAAATGGCTTGTGAAATGCACATTGATCTTCCCCAACAAGCAAAGATTGAATGTTATTTAAATCATAATAAAGAAATCGTAAGGTTGAATGGATTTGCCATAAATTGTTACCAAATAAACAAATTGTACAATGAAAATAGAGATCGATTTTTTACCATAAGAAGTTTTCTATGGCATAATGCAAATAGTACAACAGTCTACATGAGAGATGGGATTGTAAAATATTTTAAAATATTTTATACTAATGTTCTAAAAATGTGTGATAATAATCCAGACTGCATACATGATGTGTATTACATTACACATTGGTTACATGAACACCTTTTGGATTGTTTTGAAATTGGTTCTTGTTATCAAAGAAAAATTCTTGGTTTAAATTTATATAGAGCTATACTTTCATTTACCAATGGATTTCTGATAAATAAGACCAACAATGTTGAAAATATTTTGTCTATTTCATTACTAGAAAAACATTTAATAACAACTGGAAATTGGAAATTCACAAACAAAAAGAGTTTATTTATCTTATTAAGACTTGTATTGGATTCTGCACTTGATGTCAAACAATTAGCTACATCTATTATTCTTAATTATTTCAATAAAGACATCTTATCTAATGTGGAGAAACAAGTAAGAAATTATTCATCTTTTTTTCAATAATTGTTTTTCATTTAAAAAAGAAGACATTATTGGTTTAGGTATTATTTCACACGGCGTTGAAAACTTGTAATTCTTCCAAATTCTATGAAATCGAAAGTGGTGCGGCTCTTATATCAATTTTAATACACTGGCTACCGTTGAATATTTTACAAGATTATAAGAATTATAATTGTTTGAAATATTCCGATTTCTTGTTTAATGAAGCTAAGAGTCAGTTAATACAAATGAAAGATGATGTACTAAAAGCAATTGTCCAAAATAAACCATTTTATGGCGTGATGACTGCTTTATTGAATATTGCTTTCCAAAATGGTAAAGAAAGTTCCGATATATCTTTCGAATTCATTGAAAAAGTATTGTATCTATTAGAAGATGCCACAGATTTCTTTCTACACATACTTTCTTCAAAATCGGAAAATACAGGTATAATTTACTCAGTTTCAATGAAACATAATTAAAAAAATGCTTTACCTTGAGTGAAATTGTAACTGAATTTATAGAATATTCATCATCGTTTGCGGAAATGGGATTAGCCATTAATGAAACGATTAAAAACAGTGAGATAGAGAACATCAATTTAGATGATTTAAATTTAACTTCTGCGCATCATGTGCTCATTTCTTGCATTTGGATGTCTTTAAAGGTAAACGTCTTAATCTTCATCTTTTAATTTTAACATATATAAAATAA